CAAATCAATAATATCTTCAGATTGATAATAAACGACTTACCCATGTGTATGTAATACATTAGTAATTGATTAAATTATCATATATTTTATCTAATAAAAATGTCACATTTTAAATATATTTTAAAATTTTCAACAGATCAACGGAGTCAATGTGTTTGCATTTTCTACCATCGGTTACTTGATGTATTCTTTCGCACAAATATTTATGTTTTGTATTCATGGCAATGAACTCATCGAAGAAGTGAGTTTAAGTTTAAGATAAGATTACTATATTTTTTTAATTGCTAGTTACATAATACACTGTAGAGTAGATTGGGAGAATTTACAATTTCAAAATCGTGTAATAATYATATAGTTGTTAATACACCTATATATTATACTTTGTGTATATGCAATATAAACATTTAAATAAMATTTCAATTTTGTATACATTCTGATTATTTATAGAGTTCATCTGTAATGGAAGCGGCTTACGGTTGCCACTGGTATGATGGATCCGAAGAAGCTAAAACATTCGTGCAAATAGTGTGTCAACAGTGTCAAAAGCCTTTGATTGTGTCTGGGGCGAAATTCTTCAATGTTTCATTGGATTTATTTGCATCAGTAAGACAACATTATTTTTTCTTCATGAGYATACATTTTTATTGACATATTTTATTAACATATTGACATACCGAATACAATATTGTGTCAGCTATAATTTAATGAAATTATTTGCTTCCAGGTTCTAGGTGCTGTAGTAACATACTTTATGGTTTTGGTGCAGCTTAAATAAAACCATTCAATAATAAATACAGCTATACAGGATGATTCACAAAGCATGTTTAGTATCCTCGCCTTCTTTTTATCTTTTAATAGTGAATGTATTCAAATTGAAWTTGAAACTGATTTTTAGAATTTTTAAGAATAGATTTAGGATTCTATTTTCAAAATTAAAATATTAAACCATTCAAAGAATATATTTAGGGATGACTATTTTGAAATGAGAATTACCTTTTGTACTGTCTACTGTTAATACAATTATATTTTTGAATATCTTGAACGATCTAATTCGTCAAGAATATACATACATCAGAATAGTTTCTGAATTATTAAACTAAAAAAACTAATGATAATAGTGTTTAATAATGGTTTCCCAGTTTCACATAAAATATATGTAATAATTAGCTTAGTATTTATTACATTCCAACAATTATAACATTTTAATAGATTGATATTAATTGTGATAATTTTGAAAATGATCACAACATCATATCTAATCTTAAACAGTCAAACCTAATATTATGGACTATTATCCTTATAATATATATTATAAAGTTTAATATGAGTAATTCAAATACTACAGGTTCGATTTTTGATCTGCACTAACATTTTCAAAAAATTAATTCCCTTAAAAATGTAAAGTAAAAAACAACTTTTTTTATTTGAAAAAATGAAGTTTGTGTTACCACAGAACATACATTTGAAAATATTGTTTAAGTTTATTTAAAAATTCTAGTAGATAATCATAATTTGTAAAAAATATTAATACATAAGTAAAAGAAAACACGGGGTGCAGAGCAAGCTTGGAGAATCACCTTGWATAGTGTTACTTATAATTATTTTACTTAAAAGTAAAACTCGTCTTTATAATGTTACCATAGAAATAAATTTACTATTTTATTATATTAGTACATATACCTACCATAATTTTAAGTAGTTATTTGTGTTTTATAATATAAGTAAGTCAAAACGATACTTTTATGTGTTAATCAATTAAATATTCATAAAAATGAATGATGGCAGTCTGTAAAATATCAATATGTATAATAAATAATAATTTAATTTATTATTATTATTAAGATATTATACGTATTATAAATGTTTATATAAAAATATAGAATGTAACTAAATGTTTGTAACAACTTAAGTAATGTATTATGTAATGATGTTTCAATAATGTTTGTTCTAATATATAATCATTAATCATATCGTATATCAATTATTTTTCAAATGTTTTAGTTTTTATGCAACGGTTAATTCTATTTTTAAAGCACTAGTCCAGTTCGGTTCAGAATGTTGTAATGTGTGTACGTCTGTTCATTAGTAGTATGCTCGCTGTTATCTTTATCAAATCGTAACCCTCCTTCATTGCTTCGTCTATAATAATAATCAAGTTATTATGTCACCTCAACTTAGCGTGGCTTCTTCCAAATTACAAACAAAAGAAATCTCTCTGCTTCTTCTCTCTCAGCAAAGGCAGGAGAAATTAAGAAAACCAAATTATTCACAAGTCCAAATAAGTTCTCCGTTCTCTCCAAGTGCGACGACTACATTAAAAATGTGGGTAACATATCCGCCTTCATCTCTAGTTTTTTGACCAAACTTGATTCTACAGATTTTATTTGTAAATCCACGCTCTCCTATCTTATCGTCCGCACTCATTTTGTTGAGCATTACAATCAGTTATTAACGCATTTAGAGGAGAATGATTATATTTATCATTCATATCAGCCAGATTCTATGCGCACACTACGCGTAGTTATTGGAAATCTCCACCCAACTACTGCAATCGAAGACATCATCGCCGGCCTTTCAGAATTGGGCCACTGCGTCACCAATAGAACAACATTAAGCGATTTTCGGACAAAACGCCTTTGCCACTTTTCTTTGTTGATATTCAAAAAGTTACCAACAATTTGGATATATTCAAGATTGAGTTTCTGCTCAACTCAAAAATTATTGTTGAAAAACCACATCCACCAAACAGCCCTCTACAGTGCTATACATGCCAGTCTTACGGTCATATTCGAAAATATTGTTATCATGATCCACGTTGTGTAAAATATGGAGAAAACCATGTCTCAGGTTCCCATACCAAGCCACGCAACTCTCCGCCCAGATGTGTCCTATGCAATGGCAGCCACAATGCCAACTACAAAGKTTGCCCCGATTACAAAAAACACGTTACTCCTCCAATTATGTGAGATCCTCTCATACCAACTCCTTCACCAAAAAACAATACTACCAAAATCTCTTTTGCTACCAATCAGCATTCTTATGCTCAAGTCACCTCCTCTGGTCAAAACTATTCTAAGTTTCCTTCAAATATTGTAACTTTATTATCCTCCTTCATCTCCGAAATCTCTAATATCATGAAACCCCTCCTCTTCCTCCTTACTTCACTTCTAAATATGTCTCAATTATCAACAATTTAAATATATCAAATTGTGTTAATCACGTTATACCTCTTTGCTTACAATCTGTTCATTACCCGTCTTTAAAATATTAATTATCTTATACTCTGTACATTCATATAATCATATCTTATATTTATATATAGACCTTAATGTCATTATATGTTATGCTATTTAATACTTTATCTTTGTTTTGTTTATGGTTATAATTCTATTTTATAGTCGTTACATTATTGCTATTGTTGTATAATTGTTGAGCTATAATAGTTAT